TATAATAAAAAATTCTCACATAAAATTATATTTTAATTTAAATTAAAAAATTAAATTAATAAATTAAACGAGCTTAAAATATCTTTTTTATTTCTTTTCTCCTTTTGCCCGAGGGAATAATAAAAATTGTGATGTATTTCATCAGTTCAAGACCTTATTTTTTTCAGGTCCCGTTCATTTCGTTGATTTAAGTTTTGCTACAGTAAAAAGTTTTCATAAATAATCACATCTAATTTTTTTACTACAATAAAAAATTATCATATAAAATTACATTTTAATTCAAATTAAAAACTAAAATCAGTTAACTAAACAGGACACGAGTCATTTTTTTGCTTGATTTGTTTATTAAATTTTAATCCTTTGGAGGTTAGGTTAACAGCTTTTGAATAAATAGCCTGTTGAAACAGACATTCGACTAGATTGTAATGCAGGTCTTTGAATGGTAAGCACACAAATAGTTCATCGTATTAATTGGGAGTTCCGAGTGGTCTATAGCCCCATTGTACCCTCACATGCCATCTTCCCCCACCAACTACCTTTTGCAATAAATTACCATTGCACTGCATTTTGGTTCCTCAATATTTCTTGGTCCCTTTGTTTTTTTTTTTTTTCGTTTTTAACTTTAAATCAAATTAACACATGACATAATATGAAAATAATAATATTTATTTACCTTTCAGGTCCGAATTCCATATTTTAAATAATTAATTTAATAATATTTTTAAATTATTAGATCTCAATTGCAACTGTATTTTAAAATTTTAGTATATAATTTGTCAAAATAAAAAGTGTGTTTAGAACTCGTTCTAAAATAATTTTATTTTTTGTATGAAAATAAAAATAAAAAACGTTTTTAATCTCATACAGAAATTATTTTTAAAAATGCGTTTAATAATTTTATCAAGAGATTATTTTTAATATAAAAAAATTTATTAATATCTCTGTCTCATCGAAAGAGGAAAAAATGAAAACAAAAACTCTCTCATTTTACATTAAACTAAAAAATCGTTTTCATTTCTATTTTTTATTTTTAATTATGTCAAACGTTATTTTAAATTTTTTTTATTTTTAAAAAATAAAAATAAAAACAATTCAAAATACGCTAAAAAAGTTTATAATCTATTATGCAAAATAAATAAATAAATAAACAGTTTAGAATGCCACGGCCCATATTTTGCATAAATAAAAATCCATTTTCTTTTCCTTCTTAAATGCCTTTTTAAGGTTTGTTTTTTCTTTTTTTGGTGTTTTTATTACGTTCGTGTTTGCTTGGAAAACCGCGATGAGAGGCAGTAGTAGATAAATAGAGGAGGGGGGGCTATAGGTGTCCGTTTGAGAGAGGGGCCCATATTTTGCATTTCAAAAAATTATAGAGGGACGAAAAAAGTTGCAGACAAGTCTTTGACTACAAACAACAAACAACTAATCTCTTCTCTCTCTCTCCTCTCTCTCTCTCTCATGTTTTTTATAATCTTTTTTTTTCCTTGAAACTAGAAGAGGAGGGTCTTTCTTGTCTTGGCCTTTTATATCATCTACAACACCTTTCAAGTTTCTTACACATCCACACGCTTTTCTTCTTCTTCTTCTTCTTCTTCTTCTTCTTCTTCTGTACTCTCTCGGTTTTTAAATTAAAAAATTAAATTAATAAATTAAACGAGCTTAAAATATCTTTTTTATTTCTTTTCTCCTTTTGCCCGAGGGAATAATAAAAATTGTGATGTATTTCATCAGTTCAAGACCTTATTTTTTTCAGGTCCCGTTCATTTCGTTGATTTAAGTTTTACTACAGTAAAAAGTTCTCATAAATAATCACATCTAATTTTTTTACTACAATAAAAAATTATCATATAAAATTACATTTCAATTCAAATTAAAAATTAAAATCAGTTAACTAAACAGGACACGAGTCATTTTTTTGCTTGATTTGTTTATTAAATTTTAATCCTTTGGAGGTTAGGTTAACAGCTTTTGAATAAATAGCCTGTTGAAACAGACATTCGACTAGATTGTAATGCAGGTCTTTGAATGGTAAGCACGCAAATAGTTCATCGTATTAATTGGGAGTTCCTAGTGGTCTATAGCCCCATTGTACCCTCACATGCTATCTTCCCCCACCAACTACCTTTTGCAATAAATTACCATTGCACTGCATTTTGGTTCCTCAATATTTCTTGTTCCCTTGTTTTTTTTTTTTTTTTTCGTTTTTAACTTTAAATCAAATTAACACATGACATAATATGAAAATAATAATATTTATTTACCTTTCAGGTCCGAATTCCATATTTTAAATAATCAATTTAATAATATTTTTAAATGATTAGATCTCAATTGTAACTGTATTTTAAAATTTCAGTATATAATTTGTCAAAATAAAAAATGTGTTTAGAATTCGTTTTAAAATAATTTTATTTTTTATATGAAAATAAAAATGAAAAACGTTTTTAATTTCATACAGAAATTATTTTTAAAAATGCGTCTGATAATTTTATCAAGAGATTATTTTTAATGATTTTATTTTTTGTATGAAAATAAAAAATGAAAAACGACTTTTAGTCGTTTTTCATTTCTCTCTCATTTTACATTAAACTAAAAAATTATTTTCATTTCTGTTTTTTATTTTTAATTATGTCAAACGTTATTTTAGCATTTTTTTTATTTTTTATTTTTAAAAAATAAAAATAAAAATAATTCTAAATACGCTAAAAAAGTTTATAATCTATTATGCAAAATAAATAAATAAATAAACAGTTTAGAATGCCACGGCCCATATTTTGCATAAATAAAAATCCATTTTCTTTTCCTTCTTAAATGCCTTTTTAAGGTTTGTTTTTTCTTTTTTTGGTGTTTTTATTACGTTCGTGTTTGCTTGGAAAACCGCGATGAGAGGCAGTAGTAGATAAATAGAGGAGGGGGGGCTATAGGTGTCCGTTTGAGAGAGGGGCCCATATTTTGCATTTCAAAAAATTATAGAGGGACGAAAAAAGTTGCAGACAAGTCTTTGACTACAAACAACAAACAACTAATCTCTTCTCTCTCTCTCCTCTCTCTCTCTCTCATGTTTTTTATAATCTTTTTTTTTCCTTGAAACTAGAAGAGGAGGGTCTTTCTTGTCTTGGCCTTTTATATCATCTACAACACCTTTCAAGTTTCTTACACATCCACACGCTTTTCTTCTTCTTCTTCTTCTTCTTCTTCTTCTTCTGTACTCTCGGTTTCTTTTGAGCCCAAACTTTAGATAAAAGATTCTTGAAACGTTCATAGTTTGTATTCCATTGGTTTCAGAAAGAAAGTTGTGGGCTTGATTGATTTGAGAAAATGAGTGCTTCAAAGTTCATTAAATGTGTCACAGTTGGTGATGGGGCTGTTGGGAAGACATGTATGCTTATCTGCTACACTAGCAACAAGTTTCCCACTGTGAGTTTCTTTTTTTTTTTTCTGTTGCATTTATGGATGTTTTTCAAGATTCAAAAAGTGGGTTCTTTTTAACATCTTCAAATTGTTCATGTACAGTTTTTCTTTTTCTTTTTGCCCCTTTTCCAACTCTTCTTTTCTGAATATCTTAGTTCTCTCACAATGTTTGTGGATTTTTTTTTTTTGTGCTTGGCAGGATTATATACCAACCGTATTTGACAATTTCAGTGCCAATGTAGCTGCGGATGGAAACATTGTCAACTTGGGACTATGGGATACTGCAGGTAAGAATAATTCTTTATACCCTTTAGGCCTGAGTTAGTTTTTTTCTTAGTTTTTTTTTTTGGTGGGTTTTTGGTATTTAAGATATTTCTTGGTTGGTTCTTGATTTCCTGAAAAAATTCTTTTCCTTTTGGTTTAAAGGTCAAGAAGACTATAGTAGGTTGAGGCCTTTGAGTTACAGAGGTGCAGACGTATTCGTGCTAGCTTTCTCTTTGATTAGCAGAGCTAGTTATGAGAATGTCCTTAAAAAGGTACTTATCTTTTTGGATAATGACTATTTATTCATTAGGTTTTTGCTGCTTTTGGTTATTCTGGAAAAGGAAGTTATTTCTATTTTTGTCTAAAGCCGACATCTTGATTTGTTTTTCCCTTTAATGAACATGAACATTAATTTTTTTTTTATATCATTTAGTATTTCCTTTTCTATTTGAGTTCTGTTACTATATGCTGGACTTTATATGTCTTTAATTTTTCTAATAACTGCATATTAGTGATATGAATTCATTCATATCCTTTTTTTTTTTTCAGTGGATGCCTGAACTTCGTCGGTTCGCACCAAATGTTCCAATTGTTCTTGTTGGAACAAAACTAGGTAGGGAATCCGAATAACTGTCACCAATATATTTCATTTTAATAGAAAGTTTGAGAGTATCATCAAGATGACTTCTTTTTATATCGATTTCAAGATCTTCGCGAGGACAGGGGTTATCTAGCCGATCATATGGGATCTAATGTCGTAACATCTGCTCAGGTATGCAAGCTTAATTTTTTTCCCATTTTGAGACTTGAATTGAGGAAGCATTTTGGGGTTGATTTATTTATTTATTTTTTTTAATTTTAAAAAGGAGCTTTAAGTCATGTGCTTATGAATGAAATCAGGGAGAGGAGCTAAGGAAGCAAATTGGTGCTGCGGCTTATATCGAGTGCAGCTCTAAGACTCAGCAGGTGGGCTTTGATAGAGTTTAAAGTTTTAGGACGTTTCTAATAATTTTTCATGTTTTATGGATACTGATCTTTCTTGATTCTTTAGAATGTCAAAGCTGTTTTTGATACCTCTATTAAGGTTGTTCTTCAACCTCAAAGAAGGAAGGAGATGGCTCGGAAGAAAACACAAAGACGGTCTGGTTGCTCAATTGCGTGAGTACTTCACTTTTTCAGTAATCCCTCGGATACTTGTTTGTTGCTCAATTTTCTTGCTTCCTTAATTGAGTGAGAATTAGGAGGTTGCTAGATGCCGGTTGTTAGCTTATTCGAAGCTCAAATTTCATGAGAAGAGATGATAGCAATTTCATGTGACACCAGCCTTGAAGTTATTGAGGAGAGTAATAAATAACTAGTTGTAAAAAAAATGTCTAAGTACATTGCAGGGACTAATATAAACATTCATGAAAAGATCCGGTAAACCTTGAAAACCATGCGAAATAAATGGCCAAGGGGAAAACATGCTTCCGTGCCTTGCAATGTATAATCATAATGGATAACATTGTCTTCTTGTGTTTGCTTCTGCCAAGCTTCTCCTTGTTGGAAAAAACTGTTCTTTTGGAGTTAAGTCGTTCTTTCATCTTTGTGATTGAACTTTAAAGCTCTAAGTCAATTTCACATCAGCTTTTATGAACCAAATCAATCTGATACTGCAAGCCTTTATGTCATTTTTGCCCTTGTACCCTTACATTGACTAATGAGATGGCAACTATGATGCTGGGGATTTTCCAATAATTTCATGTTCACTTAACTGCAGGAGCATTATGTGTGGAGGCTGCGTGGCTTAGGGCAGATCAAAGCCACGGTAGGTGATATTCACTTCTCACTTTTGGAAAATGGTGTATTGGTTTGTAATTTTTAGGAGTTCAACAGGGGCTGATCAGTGATAGTTAAATGATGTTCTTATGGATGTATTATAGTTTTGAATGACAAATTTTTACCAGTGGTTAGTAATGGAGGGAATTTTTCATTCTCGCATTTATTGTGTAGTTGGTAAATCATGTTTGGATGTAATGGTTTATGCTGAAGAAGTACTAGACTTTCTTTCTGTGTATCAAATATATCTTGGATTTTTCTTTATGCCCTTGAGCAGTTGAGCTAATGGAAAATAGTTGCCTTGTTCTTCTATGTTTTTCTTCTTAAAACGTATCCTACCAAAACCAATAGATTTTAATGCCATTTACAATCTTATATTGTTTTGTAATAGGAATTCTAAGTTTTTGATATCAACTCGTATGATAATTCAATTTTTTAATTAATAGATTCTAATGCCATTTACAATCTTCTATGTTTTTCTTCTTTAATGCCATGTTTTTCTTCTCTCCTGACTCTCAAACGTGAATTTTTATCACAAATCCTCCTAAAGAGGAATCTATTTTCCTATACTTGCTAAGCAAATCTATCACCAGAGCCAATGTTACACTACAATTATCCTCAAAAGGGTGGTCAATCAACCAACCAAAAAAAAGAAAAGAAAATCACCGTCATTAAATTCCCCTCGGAGAAGTGAAGATTCACCCCTGAATCTATCTCACCTAGAAAGATTTTGGCCAAATCAATGCTGTGAACCTGAAAAGTAAATTTCATTGTGTTCAGAAAAAAGGACAATAATCAATAAAGGCTTGAACAATTAGATGGATCATAATAGCTTGTTGGCAGCTTCCCATTCCCACATGCCTCTTCATGCATTGGCAGAAGAAGGGCAATATTGATTATAAGGGTCCCACTTATATCTGCAGAAGGTAGGTTTGCCTGCTATCTTAATTACTGGTACCAACCGCACAAAATTTTGGATCTTCCATTGTCGAAGTCTCATGTTTATGATGTTGGAAATTTGAGTGTATTTAATTGCCTTCACTTGTTTTTAGACACTAGGACCCGCCAAGTGCCTATTCGTCTTGTTCCTTGTGTCAGTTCATAAAATAGGCCAACTTCAAATTGGCGTATGGTTACTGACACGTGCATGTACAGTGACACCTTGAATGATTTCAAATTCCAGTATCCTACTTTCATGAATTGTTGAAATGGTTTATTGAATATAAGAAAACTAAAAATAAAAAAATGCAGAAAACGGGTGCATATAACTGTGTGTGTCAGTGTGTGTTTGGAGAATACCATGTGGGAACAGTATAACACGATTGTCATGTCACATAGCAAAAACAGGACTAAAGGGATTCACATGGAAGTTTTGTGTCCTAACTCGAGCACATAGTGAAAAAGAAGACTCAAGTCGATATTGGAAATGGTCATAAATGGCCATTTAGAAGTTTTGTGGACTCGAGCACATCACATGGAAGTTCGGAAGTTTTGTTTCAGCACAAATGGCATTTTTTAAGGATGTTTTTTCATAAATGGTCAAAGCTTTATAAAATTGTAAAAATTGTCATTTTCATTACTTTAGTAGTCAATCATTAATTGACACAGTGACTGACTCAACGGTCAATTATTAATTAACTCAACAGTCAATTATTGATTGACTCAATATTAATTATGATTGACTCTAATTTGTAACTGATTAATTCAATTATTCTTATTATTAATTAATATTAGTTAATAATTAATCAAAATTAATTAGTAATTAATCAATTTTAATCAATGAATTTTATGTTTATTAATAATAAATTATTAATAAATTAATAATGAATCTGTCAATCATGATTGATCAATCATTGATTGACTGTGGTCCATAGCTTAATAATTGATTAACTCATATAAGTAAAATGGTTATTTTCGTAAAATAAAAAAAGTTCAGCTATTTATAAAAAGAGATGGTTAAAAAAGACCACGCAGTACAATTTCCGTATTGGAAATTGCTATCATTCCCTTTCTTTTTTTAAAAAAAAAAAAAATCTATCATTCTATGTGCTAAAGTTAGGACATGTGCTATCCTCGTAAATAAGTAAATAAATAAATAAAAACACTCCTATGGAATAGAGAGACCCTGACATTAGAGGGATTAAGAGTACAAAGATCGGAAAGAGTTATAGGAATGAGGAATTAATATAGAATATGAAGAGAATTACAATAATCTTTTATCTTACTTTGTAAGAGGGGGAGAAAGATAAAAGTATAGATGGTGGTTTTTTTTTAATTACTATAAAGTCGTTTAGTATCATTATTTAAGTAGTTTTTTGTTTTTAATAAAAAAAAGTGAATTTTTTCTTAAAATACCTTTGGTGATCTTGTTTTTGTTTTTGTAAACTGCTATCACCTTTTAAAAAAGAATTCTTGTTTTAAGATATTTTTAAATGAAAATTTTAAATTGTGATTACTGTTATGAGATCGCCAACAAAGAAAGATCGGTGTTGAGGTGAAATCGATAGGATAAGATTGCTGTTAGAGAGGCCAAGATTGTCATTGCTAAATTGTTTATTTTACTATTTGTTGTTTAATTTTTTATAGTAAAATAGTATTTTTAGCTTAAATTTGATAACCCTTCCGCTAATGGAAGATCCAAAACCCTAATTAGTACAAGACTTTTTTTGTCCCATCATCCTTCTAACCAAACAAAAATTGGCGCTCTACTAAACCACTTTCCCTAAACCAAACACACACTAAAATAAGGTTATTTTTCACACTTATTCCGTAAACATTTAATTTTATTAATATACCCTTTTAACTAATTAAATAGCTGTAATATGCTTTATTTAGCTGATAGTTGTGAAATTGAGGTCAAAAAAGCACATTCGACCAAAAATTCTATCAACCTAATTTCAACCGTAACACAAACCTCTTAATCGTTCAATTCTTAATCCTTTAAATCTAACCAAACATCAAAGTAAAATTGATAAAATAGTTTAAACTGGTAAATTACTAAAATTTGAAAATTTAACGGGAAAGTTTCCAAACTCTAAAAAAGTTAGGGGACAAAAGTCAAAAAAACGCTTAAGATAAAACGGAAGAGAGGCCTTAAGGTCATATCACGGTCATCATCTTTCTCTTCTCCGGTCCGGTTCTCCTTCTCCACACACACACACACACACTCTCTCTCTCTCTCT